TATTACACACGTCGATAAACCAGGACAGAGGAGCGCTTTCTTCTTGGCTGGCGATACGAAGGATTGCCTCGTACAGGATTTTCTTTGTGAACAGCAGACTGAGAAGATCCTTATAGGCTTGATTTCCTCCCCACAATCTCACTTTATAAGCATGTTTCCCAGTGAAGGAAGGACAGTCCAAAGCTGAAGGCACTCTGAACTACTTGGCATCCAACTACTTGACTTTGGAAGAATCTCCTATTCATCCACTTCTCTCTTTGCCTAGGGATGTTGTAGAACATCCACAACTGGAAGTTTTTAAGAACATGTTCACAGAAGTTATTCCTGAGAAATGCAGATAGAGGTGATATTGCTTTAGAATTATAAATGTGATTTCTCAAAGGCTCATCCAGCCCTACTTCCTATGATTCATTTTCCAGTCCTAGTCTTCATCTCTTGAGTTTTCATATAGGTTTTCTCCTATTACTCTTTACCCCTTTGCATCCATACTCTTTTCTTCTGAATTCATTCCCCGTCATGAAATATCTTCCTGCCATCATCCCTGAGTTTTCTTAGCAGCTGTTATTCCCTCACCACCAAAGGTGACTCTGAACAGCAATTCTCCATTGTAGCTCAGAAGAACCTGAGATGCAATTTCTCAATAGAGCAAAATCCCTCCACTCCTTAGACAGAAGGAGAGTCTACTAGTTTTCTGCCAGCATGCTGCTGGGCTCCCAAATTAAGACAAGAACTAAACTAGCTACCAGGACATGAGCAACATCTGTTAGACCTCTAGGCAACCACCCTCCCCTACACACTGTCCTGACTTCCTTTCACTTCACTCCTCCTCCCCTTCAGCCTTCAGAAATAAAGCAGTATCTCACAAGTCACAGATGGAAGCTGCTTCTGCTGAAAAAAGCTCACCCCAACAGCATGGTTGGCCAACAGCCCTTTTCAAGCTGCTATTACCCAATAACAGGGCAAGATTCTCCACTAATTATTGGGGCGGGGGGAGATACAGAGAAGCGGGCATTGTCAAACCCTGTGGTGATGTAAACCTGCAGCTGAATACATTAGGAGCTGTGGACACCCCTTATGGCAGCAGTGTCTTAGTCTGCTACCACAGGATTAGCAAAGCACAAGATGTCAGAGGGAGCGAGTGCTGTGCTACCAGAATGGCCCTGCCAGACCTGATGAGAACTGGCTGATGCCCCGAGGCTGAGCCTGGCCTCGCCACCTTATTCCTGCTCTCCCTCCATAACCGCACAAGATCTCTGGAGACCAGCGACATGGCAGATGGGACCAGCTCACCCGGATCCCCCATCGCCTCCCCAGCATCAGGCCAAGGCCTCTCACCACAAGAGCCTAGACCACAACCAGCCATGGCCAAAGCCCTTGACTGCGGCAGCATTGTCACCCCCACCCCAAAGCCCTGCGTGTCCCCAGCAGCATGCAGCCCTGTCCCCACGCACAAGGCACCCGCACCGGCCCCGCTCACCCGGGTCAGGCTGCGGGGGCAGCGGCCCGGCTGCCCCCTTCCCTCAGTGC